TGCACTTAATAAACAAAAATCAAGTTTTTCAACCAACATAACATTATCTAAATATCTTCCTAAACTAGGAACAAATGCTGAGCCTACAAGCTTGCACTCAGCTAATGATCCATCTGCTAAAGTAACATGATTAATATCTGGCTTTTTAGTGTCCTTTAACAATTTTAAGTTATTAACACAATGCTCTGCACACCCAGAGTCAAGTAACCATGTGGCCTCATCATACTTAGCCTTTGATAACACAGTCATTACATCAGCATTTCTTCCCCTTGCATTTCTGTCATGCCACCCAGGGTTCCTCTTCATTTCTTCTTCTTCTTTTCTTCTTGGGACAGGCCTTGACAAGATGATTCACATCTCCACAACTGAAGCACCTCCTTACGTTACACACAGCAGGGTTCTTTCTGCATCCAACCCCTTCACAAGCTGCATTTTCTGAAATGGTGTTTGTTTCTTTAAGAAACTGCTTTCTTCTTTCTTCCTCAAGAAGCCTTGCAGAAACCAAATCCAAGGTTAATTGTGCTTCAGGCACACTCTGCATACTGAACACAAAATTGTCCCAACTAGAGTCCAAAGAAGATAACAAAATGAAAGCTTTATGTGTTTCGGTAAACACCATTTGTCTATTTTCCAACTCCATCAACAAATGCCTGAGCTTTTGCAAATGCTCAGTTATGTTGTCACCCCTTTTTAGCTTCAAATTATAAAGCTGCCGGGTCAAAATAATTTTTATGCCAGAAGTTTCAGTTTGATAAACTTCCTTTAACTTCTGCCAACAGTCTGCTGCAGATATAGTGTCCCTTAAGTAAATTAATTGCCCATCCTCAACAGCGAGAAAAATGCTCACCCTGGCAATTCGGTCTTGCTTTTTTACCTCTTCACTCGAAGCTTCTGTGGGTGGGGTTTCAACCACAGTCCACAAATCTTCTCTTATGAGAAAACTCTTCATTTTCACATTCCAAGCCATGTAATTATCAGCATTTAAACGCTCAAATGGTAAGCTTGCCATATGATGAGCCATAGCTGCTTACTTTTCTATTTAAGCACAAAAAACACACACAAAAAAACTCTCCCAAAGTCTCAGAGTTATGGGCTTTGGAGTCCTTATGCCGCTATGCTGGGCCCATAACCTATGTCATGCGCTAGCATGAGAAGCATGCGGATTGACTCTAGCCCAGTTAACAATGTGTGATGAATTGGCTCATAAAAGAAAAAATACATGAGACGTTGACTTCAAGTAGAAAAGAAAATATTGTTGTATTGGCAGCATACAAAATAAAGTAGCAGGATTACTGTTTTCCACAAAAGTAACATAAAACAATATCTTCTGAGAGATATCACCACTCAGCTGAGATAAGCAGGAATCCTTGTCCTCTTCTCAAGGCTGTGTCTTCACAGGACATCTGCAGCATAGTCCCCGACAGAACGGCACAGAGGCAAACACGCACAATGGCATTAAGGCACAATGGCAAAAACTAAACACACAGTAGCTATCTTTATACACATGAAAATAATACTCTCAATTAACTCTTCAATTAACTGAAACAGCTGTAGCACAAACAGCCTTGAACCTTACAGTAAGTTAAAGGTATAGCACAAACAACATTGATCCTTACAACAACTTAGATAAAGTATGTTGCAACCTCTTAGTAGCAACATAGCCTTGTTCCAGTCTCTATTTCCATTGCAAAGTTAATGGCTATAATCAATCATCCAAGATCAAGTTAGTCCCAAATACACTGCATAGTGGTATTTTGCAATGTGTTTTTGCTGGGAAAATCTGTCAACTACTATGGGGATTACAGAGCATCCAGAAAGTTGTTCAATGAGGACAGAGGGTATCAAAATTTCTTGGCACCTGGCCCTTTATCAACTCATGAATTCTTATTTTATTGAACTACCGATCTCTATCTTCAACCAAGACTAAGGTAAAGTATTTGTTCAATGCAGTTAATCTTCACTGGAATGGAATAACTGAATCCAGTCTCGAAGGAAAGGTAAATAGCACGGACAACAGCATGGTTGTGCAACTGGTTGGTTTTCAAAACAGCATTACAAGCCTTTTTATGTATGACATGCTTTGATAGAGGAACCATGGCTGCTAACGGGGAAGTGTCTGCAAGGATTGGCAAAGAGTGCCGATGAGCAATTATGGTATTCCCTCTGTGCCCTGGGCAAAAGTGATAATTGTCCATACATAATTCAAAACTAGCTTTCCTGCTTATCCCCGCCCCGTCTCATCTATCCCGAACAATAAGAACAGCAGTAAATCTCAAAAGGACATTGTCAAAGCTTTGTCCTCTGGGCCTGAAAAATAAAGTCTCCAGGAAACCTCAAATTCTTCTCCAGAGAAGCAAAAATTTATAAACTGGCTCTTTAGCAAAGTGCTTTTGGAGACAAAGCTGGAGTAATATATTTCCAACTCACATCTGTTGAGGTCCTTTAGGGTTCTTGATGTACAAGTGCTTTGATGATATTTTTGGGAGAAGAAATGAATCTGCTCCCTGGTTATCTAAATAATGTTGAGTCTGAAATCACATAATGGAGATGACAGTGACACTTGTCAATGTCACAAAGTCAATAGGGCAGTGGTTCTCAACCTGGGGTCGCCAGATGTTTTTGGCCTACAACTCCCAGAAATCCCAGCCAGTTTACCAGCTGTTTAGGATTTCTGGGAGTTGAAGGCCAAAAACATCTGGAGACCCCAGGTTGAGAACCACTGCAATAGGGAGTGAAGAGTTGTTTTCTGGATCAACAGCACCTTCAGTTTGAATGGATGAACATTTGCACCTCATTCTGGAACATTGGCCAACAGATAAATGGGGACCAAGGACACATTTGGTTGCTGTTCAAAGTTTTTACAAACACCATATCCTTTTTTCTAGAACAGTACTTTCCAACCTTTATTTGACCAGGGACCATTCTCCAACATTAGTACCAAAAGGGTTACGAATCGTTTTTTGGACAACTTTAGATTTGGTTTGGTTATTTGGGGTGCTGGTTCTGAAAATTGCACTGGATAGACCACATCAGCTCTAGTTTCTAATACAGAACATATGCCATCCTGTTGTCACCATCTGCTCACCCACAGAAAATATCTAGAGCTAATAATCTAGAGCTGATGTGGTCTATCCAATGCAATTTTCTAAATCAGCACCCCAAATAACCCTAGGAACAAGACTAAAAACAAAGATACCAAGGCCTCAACTTCCAGGTGCCACATGGAATGGCTCCACTCAGAGAGAGAGAGGAGGAAGAGAAGCAGCAGTCAGGAGGTGTGTTGTTGTGCTTTTCGTGGATAGTCAACTTCTTCCCTCCCAACATCCCCCATTGCCTCAGTACTATAAGAGAGTTTTGTGAGACCACTCACTCTAATTGCAACAGTGTAGTAATGGTGAGGTCGCAGACCATATTTTAGTTCTTGTGGATCACTGGTGGTCCACAGGCCCAGGGGCGGCTCAACTCATTACACAAAGTAAGCATTTGCAGTATAGTTGATTTTACCCAGGGGCGCTCTTGAGGCGCTCTTGGGGGAAAATAGACCTTGACATATGCAAGTTGTAGTTACTGGGATGTATAGTTCACCTACAATCAAAGAGCATTCTGAACTCCACCAATGATGGAATTGAACCAAATATGGCACACAGAACTCCCACGACGAACAGAAAATATTTATCTGGTTGAGGGGGGGGGGGGCAAAATATTGTTTGCTTACCGTTGAAAATTACCTAGGGCCGCCTCTTTCCACAGGCCACAGGTTGAGAACTACTGATCTAGACCAATCATATGTGCCCTCTTAGAAAAGGTGTATCTCCAAAACTCAAATGTATCCTGAGCAATGTCTGGCATCCTTATCTTAAAATAGAGAAGACTACAGAGGAGAACCGGTGTGATGTACTGACCACAGTTTGGGGTGAGGATTGAGGAGGCCTAGGCTCAAATTTTTATTGGGCCATGAAGTTCTTGGGCTACTTTTGGCCAACATCATTCTTTGCCTTTCTCAAACCAACCCAGTGTTGTTATTATGAAAATATATGAGGATGGGATATAGAAAAAAAAAACAACCTTTTCTGGATTTCATCCATTTTTTCTTAGTTTGCATCTCCACTTCAAAATGAATGCAGTTTGACATTACTTTAACTGCCATGGCTCAATGTTATGGGATGCTCTGAGTTTTGTAATTTACACTAGCACACCATGGAAGAGAATGCCTTGTAAAACTACAACTCCCATGACTTCCCTTGGCCATGCTTCCATCTTTGAAGCTTGCAGGGCATTCAGACTAAACAAAGACAACCTCATTTGCTCTGGCCATTATTTAATGAAAATTGGTTGAGATAAATTTGAGTCTTTTAAAGCTATTGGAACTTGTTGATTTGTGAAGGCGGTTTTTCTTGTTCTTGTCTTCTATGTATAATGGGAAATGTTCAACATTCAACATTATGCGTAAAAATATATAAAGCATCTTCTCATCTGTCAATGATCGGTTGTATTTGCTTTAATACACGGTAAGTCCATGTGGATGTCAGAAAAGCGATGTTATTCCTGTTGCTATATGACCAATAGCAACAATGCAGTCTTAAATATGTCTACTCAGAAGTATGTAGCTTTGTATTGTTGAAGGCTTTCATGGCCAGAATCACTGGAGTGTTGTGTGGTTTCCGGTCTGTAAATATCTTTGAATTCAGTGGGTCTTATTTGCTGGTTAAACCAAATACAGGTTTGCAACTTTATTTGCTCTCTATTGTATTTTCCATTTAGTGATATTCAGCTTTGGAGTGTTGTGTGGTTTCCGAGCTGTATGGATGTGTTCTAGCAGCATTTTCTCCTGACGTTTCACCTGCAGCTGTGGCTGGCATCTTCAATTTTTCTTTTCCTGCCCAGAAACTCAAAAGGCGTCTTGCAATCATGTGGTCAACTTCCTCCTTGGATATGCCTCCTCAGTGAATTTTCCAGCAAACCTTTTCTATCAACTCACAGGAAGAAATATGGATGCAAAAATGGATGACTTGACCTTGCTGGGTGCTAACAATTTCCACCGTTTCACCCACGAATCTTTGGCTACCATTCAGAAGCGCATTGCAGCCAAGAAAGAATGCGAAGACATACCACTTATGGACAAGCCTCGCCCTCAGCTTGACTTACAGGCTTTCCAGAAGCTGCCGGCTCTCTATGGAAACCTTCCTCCCGAGCTCATTGGAGAGCCCCTTGAGGATCTGGACCCCTACTATAATGATCATAAGGTGAAGACATTTTCATATGGATTCAACAGTCTCATGAGAAAGCAACCAGCTGCCCAATGCTGTAGATACTCATGTATAAAGCTAGGAAATTTTATTTAAAAATTTGAAACTCAAATCCTGGATTGAGTTATCCATGGATCAGTGGAAATACTACACCATGACTCTTATCTGAGCAGAATTGTGAAATTTGAGAGCTTAAGCTATTCTGAGAGAACCTCAAAGAAGCACCAACTCCTCTCCAAGAAATGATTCTCAATTTAGCCACAAGTTTGTCAAAATCCTTAATTGTGGTCCCTCAAACTTGTCTTGAAATGTACATGAGGTCAACTTTTTCATGAGTGACTATAGGATTCGTGCAGAAGTCTAGAAGTTTTAGTCAAAATTTGACCTTAAATATTGGGTTGACTAATTCATGGTTCAATGTCAGTATTATACCATAGCACACATAAAACTTTGGACTGTACCCTTCTCTGAGTAGAATGGCAAATGTAGAGGACTTAGGGCCCTTCCACACAGCCCTATATCCCAGAATATCAAAGCAGAAAATCCCACATTATCTGAGTGTGGACTCAGATAACCCAGTTCAAAGCAGATATGGTGGGATTTTCTGCCTTGATATTCTGGGATAGAGGGCTGTGTGGAAAGGGCCCTTTGTCCATCCCAGGAATACCCTGTTAGTGTTCCCGAGGTGGGCTATGCTCTCACCTTTCGCCCCTTGATTCAGAGTTGGTAATGGTTTAAAATTTGATTAAAAAATTAATACTATAAGTTAACTTTTAAAAAATTAGCCATCTTCTTCAAGTAGAATGATGGTGATCAGGGGCATGTGGCTCTCTGAGGTGGTGGTAGTGCTTTCTCCTCTCCACAGAGTGACCCTCGACTTATCCATGGGTCAAAATCTATTATTTTACACTGTCAAACCTGCCCTTGACTTATACATAGTCAACTTATACGTAATTATATATGGTATTCTCCAATAGATGGATATTCCTTGAAGTTGTTATTAATGCAGCATAGGTAGAAATGTGTTTTCGGCTTGTTACTGCCGAAAAATATGTCTTAATACTCTCATGCAAGGGATTGAAATTGGGATCTAAACAGGACTAAAATTGAGTCAATCCATGTGGACAATTTTGGATTTTGAAGCATTTCAAGATTTCAGATGATACTTATCTTGTATGAGTTGTCATATATTGATGTTTCTGATTAATGTCTCTCCTTCCACAGACGTTCATGGTACTGAACAAAGGGAAAGCCATCTTCCGGTTTACAGCCACTCGTGCTCTGTGGATCTTTAGCCCTTTTCATCCAATCAGACGACTAGCAATTAAAATTTTGGTCCATTCATATCCTTTGCATGGAGAAGACCTCATTTGTCATTCACATTTCCTTTAAATGTTTGTTGGTGAGGCAATTGTGTCTGCCATCTAGAACAAATGCATGAGATTTTTGGGCTTCTGGAGAACTTTGAAATCAATGATGGATATCATAGAATCATCATAGAATCATAGAGTTGGAAGAGACCACATGGGCCACTTGGTCCAACCCCTTGCCATGCAGGAAAATCACAATCAAAGCTCCCCCAACAGCCTCTGTTTAAAAACCTCCAACGAAGCAGTTTCTACTGCTCTCTGAGGCAGAGAGTTCCACTGTTGAATAGTTCTCACAGTCAGGAAGTTCTTCTTAATGTTCAGGTGGAATCCCTTTTCCTGTAATTTGAACCCATTGCTCTGGGTCCCAGTTTCCAGTGCAGCAGAAAGCAAGCCTGCTCCATCTTCCTTACGCCAATCTTTCAAATATTTAAACATAATGATCATGTCCCCTCTCACCCTTCTCTTCTGCAGGCTAAACATGCCCAGTTCTTTAAGATGCCCCTCATAGGGATTATTCATGGTCTCCAGACCTTCAATTATCTTAGTCACCCTCTTCCTCTGGACACCTTCCAGCTGAGCTTGTCAATATCTCTTTTGAACTGTGTGGCCCAGAATTGGGAACAGTATTCCAGGTGAGGTCTAACTAAAGCAGAATAGAGAGGCACTATTACTTCAATGTATTGTCGAAGGCTTTCATGGCTGGAATCACTGGGTTGTTGTAGGTTTTTTCGAGCTATATGGCCATGTTCTACAGGCATTCTCTCCTGACGTTTCGCCTGCATCTATGGCAAGCATCCTCAGAGGTAGTGAGGATCATCACCTCGCTACCTCTGAGGAAGCTTGCCATAGATGCAGGCGAAAAGTCAGGAGAGAATGCCTCTGGAACATGGCCATATAGCAAAAAAAAAAAACCTACAACAACCCCCTGACTTTGCTTAATCTAGACCAGGCATGGGCAAACTTCAGACCTCCAGGTGTTTTGGACTTCACCTCCCACAATTCCTAACAGCTGGTAATCTGGCTGGGATTTCTGATAGTCGAAGTTTGAAACACCTGGACAGCCAATGTTTCCCCATGCCTGATTTAGACACTGTTCTCCTTTTGATGCAGCTGTTGCACTAGAGCCCCTGAACACCTTTTCACCACACACCACACTCCGTACAGATAATCCAGTAAGTAAAAGTTTATGTAGAGAAGAGTATAAAAATAAGTAAATCTAAAAAGGAGAAGCAAACTTCAAAAAGTTATTTCCAAGATAGCCAAGAGTGCAAAACCCTTTCAAATACAGTCTCAAGAGTTAACCCACAGAAATATCCATAAACATGATAGCATGCATCCAAGACAGGCAACCTATGACACACATGAACTAGAAACAGGAACAAACTTGAATGCATGAATTCAAAAAACATAGGACCGAAAACCAAGAGCGTTCACCTGAATACAACGTTGCTCTCACAAAGGATTGTACCAGCAGAAACCACTTTAAGAGACGCCAATCCCTCCCATGACATCATTCCTCACACACCTGCTTTTCCTCTCCTTATCTCTAATCCGCTGGGAAAAGCGAGTCTGTCTCTGTTACACATTCTCCCTCCGAAGTTCCAAGTGCCCTGATCAGGACAAACATTAATCTCCCACATTTCTCTCAGCCTGCACTTCTGGCAGGTTCTCATGAGAACTAATATCGCTTTCTCCAGTCTCATGGGAACTGCCAGGAGATTCCAAAACAACTCTCTCTAGGCCACTTCTATCCTCCTCTGGGCCTTCTGAATCTATCCCAGCATCCCCTTCCTCACCTTCTGAGCACTCAGAATCTGACCAGGCTACAACAGCAGCTCTAAATCTCTTTGGCTTTTTAGCTGCTGCCTCCCACTGTTGGCTCATGCTCAGCTTGTTGTCCACTAAGATTCCAAGATCTTTGATCCTGTCTACTATAATATTAGCTATCCCTCCCAATTTGGCATCATGTGCATATTTGATAAGCATGCTCTCTAAACCCTCATCCAAATAATTGAATAAAGATGTTGAACAGTACTGGGCCCAGGACCAAACCCTGTGGCACCCCACTAGTTGATTATTTCCAGGATAAAGAGGAACCATTTGGGTACAGTCATTTAACCAATTACAGAAGATGTTGAATCACACCTCCTAGCAAATTGTAGTTTAACAATATCTGCGTGGGTATATAATTCCCACCTCTTGTTCTACCCCCCTTATTGAAGTTGTGCGAGATTGTCCATGTCATTACATTGTTTACTGAAATTCTGTTACCCTGAAATGTGTACAACTGTGATCACTGTATATTTGCAGTCATTGAGCAGTCAACATTCAATCAAAATGAGAAAATACCAATGGCTGAAATAGTGAAACCAAACTATTTCAAACACTTACTTCCCTTAACTCTCTTCATTTACATTGTTCACCATGTTTATCATAGTCACTATTTTAATTAACTGTGTCTTCATGACTTTCTCGGAATCACCACAATCGGGCACCAACGAGACTTCTTCAAGCAGATACGTTGAGTAAGTAGCTTTGGTGGTTCTGGACACTCTTTCCTATTTTCTGCTACTGTTGACCCTCCACATTTGTAGGTTTAACTTTTGCGGATTTGATTATTCTTAGGTTTTATTAAAATGGTATCTCTCAGAGTTTCAGGTCCTTCAACACAGGTCTATGGTTACCTTTCGCTGGATGTTGCCTATAGAGTTGTTGAGTGTTTTCATCTACCACAAGAACCGTGGGTTCAGGACCACATTTTGCAGTTCATAATTTATCTTGTTGCATAGGATATAATAAAACGAAAGCTGTCTCCTTTAATATTTAGTATCTGTCCAAGTAATGAGGAATATAATGCAATCACATGACTTCTTTATCATAGGATCTGCCATTATAGCTAATTGACCCCATTATTGGCCTTGATAGTGACCCCCATAACATATTTTCTCCAATAGCCGAGGAAGTCCTTCTCAACCAGAGAAGACACAGGTTGAACCCTTGAAATGTTTACCACTGTTTTATATTTTCCTCTATGCTGTTTGTTCTTATTCTCCTGTATGTTAGACTTTCGTTTTCAGTAATCAATGGGAAAAATACTTGTCATTAAACAGATTAAAAATAAAAGAAAACAACATAGAACTATATTGCAGCCTTAAGTTAAAATACCCTGTATATATTGACTTGGCTTTTCTGTTATGTAGGTTCACTTTCACTGGTATTTATACCTTTGAATGTCTAATCAAGATATTGGCAAGGGGTTTCTGTTTGAACGAGTTCACTTTCCTGCGAGATCCATGGAACTGGTTGGATTTTAGTGTGATTATGATGGCGTAAGTGTCAATTTTTATATTTTATAGTCCCCAAATGAATGAGTAGTTGTTTTTGCAGGGTTTGATTGTAGAGGATAAACAGGGCATTAAAATCACATAAAGGTATGCACTGTGTGCTTAGCAAATAACTATTTTGCTACTAAACCTTAGAATTGGGTAAAGGGGGCTGGTGGTTTCTTTCACAATGGGGAACTGACTTCTTTCTGTGCAATAATCCAACAATTGCCATTATTACCATTGTTTGTCTTCAGGTTATTTTAGATGTATGGTGACCCTCCAGCATGTAGGTTGTTTGGCCCCTTCTACACTGCCATATAAAATCCATATTATCTGCTTTGAACTGGATTATATGGTATTGCAGAGTGGGCTTTTGTTAAGAAGTAGGGTTCCTCTGACTTGTGATATTTCTATAGATGTGACATACTCATTTCTATAGGTTTATGTGTATCTACATTGTAGAATGAATGCAGTTGGACACCGCTTTACCTGCCATAGCTCAGTGCAATGGAATGCTGGGAGTTGTAGTTTGGTGAGCACCGATACTATTTGGCAGAGAAGACTGAAGACCTTGTCAAACTACAGTGCCAATGATCCAGTAGCATTGGGCCATGGCAGTTGAAGAGGTATCAAACTGCATTAATTCTCCAGTGTAGATGTACCCCTAGATGGAAGCATGTGTAAACATTTCTTTTTGGAGCATGACTCTGATGTGAATGTGAAAACATCAACATCAGCATAGCAGGCAACATCAACATAAAGGCTGCAGGTGTATGTATGTATTAATGTTTGTATTCACTTTGTTTTACATTGATCAAACTGTATGTTTGATAGCCACCTTGAGTCCCCTTGAGAAGAAAGGTGGGGGAACAAAATAACAACAACAGCAACAGCAATAAGAACAACAACAATGTATTAATTCTCTAGGAATCATGGCATGGGCCTTCAAGTGTGAAGGCAGCTATACTTTCCACCCCTTTCTACCATTTTCCATTTTCCCTTTTAAATTATTGATTTTAATTTCCATTTGTAAATGGATCTCCTCCTTCCCAAGCTTCATTGTTGGTTTTGCACAACAGATATATTATGTTTTCTGGGCTGTATGGCCATGTTCTAGAAGCATTTTCTCCTGACGTTTCACTCATATCTGTGGCAGGCATCCTCAGAGGTTGTGAGGTCTGTTGGAAACAAGGCCCAATGATTCTGGCCATGAAAGCTTTCAACAACATATATATTATGTTTGCACACAATCCCTAATAATTAACATTCAGTGCCCTTGACCAGATCAATTACCTTTTTGTTTTTTTTTTGTTTTTTAGTATTAACTACATGCTCCATACTACTGTATAAATAAATCTGGAAAAAATATCTTCGTACAAACAATTTAACAACATGGTGAGCACCAGCATAGCATAGTGGTTTGACCATTGGACTGCAATTCTGGAAAAGAGAGTTCAAATCTCTGCTTAGTCATGGAAACCCAATGATGACCATTGGCAAGTCACACACCCTTAGGGTTGCCATAAGTCAGAAATGACAACAAACAGTGAAGAAGACCTTATAAGATGTAGACGCCAAGAAACCTTGGCTTCTTAATGATCTTCTTGTAACGTTTTGATTTTACAGATACATCGGAGCGTTTATTGACTTGGGTAACGTTTCAGTTCTTCGGATGTTTCGGGTGCTGAGAGCTTTGAAAACAATTTCTATCATCCCAGGTATGAATGTCTTTGAATAACCTCTGCTCACCATGGCTTAATGGCATATTATATACAGAGGTCTCAAGGTGCACCATCTACACTGTAGAATTAACACAGTTTAACACATGTTCATTTACACAAGAGTTGCCAGATCTGGTTGTTTGTTCTGAATTTTAAAAATCTCTTTTTAGTCAGGATGCAATCCATGTTCACTCCATGTTATTTCTGCCTCTGGTACCAAATTTTCTATTATATATAAAAACTAGCTGTTCCCTGTCACATGTTGCTGTGGCCCAGTCTGTGTAGACGTGTTTTTTGTGTGTGTATATTTGTGTATATGTGTATATATGTGTGTTTGCATATATATATTAGGGCTGGGCGGTTTCGTTCGTTAATTTCGTAATTCATTATTAATTCGTATTTAAATTAGCTTACGATCCGATATTGAGCCATTTTGGAATAGCGTGAGGAGTAAATTAGATTCGAAACAATTTTTTCAATTTATTTCGTAATTATTTTGTTATTATTTCGAAATTATTTCGTAATTTTTTCGTAATTATTTCGTAATTATTTTCGCATGTCTGGTGCAAGTTTTTTAGTTGTTGTTTGTTTTATCACACCAACAGTCAACAACAGAGGGAGAGGGAAGCTTCAGAAGTTCCCCCTGTCCCATTTGGAGGTTTTTTTAGCATATTGCGCAATCGCGTCCGCCATTAACGAATCGATTCGAAATTAACGAAATTTCGTAAATAACGAAACTTTGAAATCTCAAAATTTCGGAAGTATTTAGAATTTGGAAACGCTAGCGCTCCCTGGAAACGAATCGAGTTTAGAAACAATTTTTCCGTGGTTACCCAGCCCTAATTGTTACCCATCTTTAACCCACAAATACCAAGAAGGTAGGGCTTTTTAAGTCCTTTTCTGTGTTTTTATGAGTGATGGTCACCTTGGCCTGATAGGTGTATTGTGTCCAAATTTGGTGCCAATTCATCCAGTGGTTTTTGAGTTATGTTAATCCCACAAATGAACATTACATTTTTATTTATATAGATAATGTCTAGGAATGCATTAACTTCATTAACTCAAAGTGTATCTTATTTTCACTTACAGAAAATAAATGAATATCTGGAGTTTGTGTGCCTCACAAATCTTGATCTAAAACATTTGTAGATTTATAAAGATCAGTATATAAATAATAATATTCTATTTGTGGTTGGCTTTCTTTGAATGCCTATGTAACCAGTCAAAACATAAATATGAAAAAAATGGCAACCTCATAAAATCTGGATGGCATGAGGAGTGGTTTAGAGATCTGGATATGTTTTGCCCGGAGAAGAGAAGGCTAAAAGAGGACATGATAGCCATGTTTAAATATTTCAAAGGATAACATACTGAAGATAGAGCAGGATTATTTTTATGCTGCTCTAGAAACCAGGACAATGTGTTCAAATTGTTGGGAAAGGGATTCCACTGAAACATTCGGAAAAAAACTTCATGAGGGTTAGAGCTGTTTGAGAATGGAGTTTACTGTCTTGGAGCTCAGTGGAGTTGTCATGGATACTTTTCAAGCATTAAAAATGTTATTTTATTCCATTTTCAGTGAGACAGAATATCAGGCACATTTACAGAAAAAGAAGGCAGACACATAGACCACTGATAGCTACACTGGTTATACAAACAAACAAAAATGGGAAACATTCACATATACTCCAGCAGTCATTCATTATTAATTTACTCATCATGCATACATTACCACCCCTTCTTTCTGCTCCTGGAGAAGAGAACTGAACATAGCCCAGATTGTGTTTCCTGAAAATCTGCCATTCTGCAGTACACCTTCCTTCCTCTTCCATTAGAGAAAGCAGAGAGTTACCAGACTCTTCTGTCTGCCACACTTTTGGATAATAAAAAGGTCTCTTATATAGCATATCTCTTGCTGTTGTTGTTCCAAAAAGTTTCAAATGACTGACAGGTTGTTTTGCAGCTAAAACTTGCTGACTCCATCAGTTCCACACAGATGTTGGCTTTTTTTTCATTAACTGATATTGGTTTAAGTAAGGATCATTGTTTGGCTTCCTTAACTTAAAGCAGTGGTTCTCAACCTGGGGTCCCCAGATGTTTTTGGCCTAAAACTTCCAGAAATCTCAGCCAGTTTACCAGCTATTAGGATTTCTGGAAGTTGAAGGCCAAAAACATTTGGGGACCCTAGGTTGAGAACCACTGACTTAAAGAGTCGTTACCTTTGACTATGTAAACATGTTGTTTTCAATCACAGAATTAATCATTGTCTCTGGTCATGTCAACAGTTCAGCAGTTTTTCCTTCACCAGCCTTTTGCAGTTTTCCAGGCTTCATGTTGTAGTTCAGCCTTTGATTGTGCTTGCACCTGATCTCTCTGGGGATTCTGGACCTGTTTGTCAACCTGTTGACAGAAGGGATTCTGGGCTTGTTAGTCAGCCTGTTGACACAGGGGATTCTGGGGCTGCAGGAGAGTCAGTGGGAGCAGCTAGAGATTTTAGAGGCTGAAAATGAATGGTCTCTGGCTGCCGGCCACGTTCCAACGGAAGAGGATGATAGTGAAAGTCCAGGTGGTCAGACTAATGGGCAATTAGATAGAAGATTTATGTTTCCTCTACATAGACTTTCACATGAAAAAGTCTGAAGGTCAAATCGCTTGTTAGTGAGGAAGTCTGTACCAATTTCCCAAGGGAAAAGGCACTCTTTTATCTTAATATTAGCTAGGCCAACTGAATCTTTGGTCAGTGAAAGCAATGTTGGAGGCTGAGGATAGAACTCCTGTCAAGTCAATGGATTTTCTATTGCCATGTTAATTTATTTATTTATTTGCCGTGCCAGAACAACCAGTCCATGCTAATGTTTTCCTGTTTGTTCCTGTTTCCAAGTGCTGACAACTGAATTTCATGTTTTGGATTTATTCTGCTCTTGTATTCATGGTTTTTGGATGCTACTCATGTACCTTATTTTTTGTGGAGTATCTCTGTTTTTGAACTTTGACTTCTGATACTATTTTACTTACTTGCTTTTTATATATTTTTCAATAAACTGCTTGCTATTTTCCCTTGGACTGGTGCATGCATTGAGTGCAGAGGTGCTTCCCAGCCTTGGAGTGCAACACTTCAATAGAATCATAGAATCAAAGAGTTGGAAGAGACCTCATGGGCCATCCAGTCCAACCTCAAGAAGCAGGAATATTGCATTCAAATCACCCCTGACAGATGGCCATCCAGCCTCTGTTTAAAAGCTTCCAAAGAAGGAGCCTCCACCACACTCCACCACAATATTCTTAGTATGGTATCTTCAGCCTCTATAGTCCCCAGTCATAAACCTTTCATACATTTAATTCAATCCACACATCATATTTATCACAGAGTCTCTTACTCTGGAGGCTTTTAAGCAGAGCCCGGGTGGCCATCTCTTGGGAGTGCTTTGATTGTGTATTTTTGCATGGCAGAAGGGGATTGGACTGGGCTTCTTCCAAGATTCAGTAATACTATTTAGACTCTCAAGAATTGTTCTGCAGCTGTTTTGATTTGATTTGTGTGCCATCCGTTTTCCACTGCAGGTCTGAAGGTCATTGTTGGTGCCCTCATCCAGTCCATCAAGAAACTTGCAGATGTGATGATCCTGACTGTCTTCTGCCTGAGTGTCTTTGCCCTCATTGGCCTCCAACTCTTTAAGGGGCATCTGAGACATAAATGTGTCAAGAACTACACAGAGTATGTCAACAAGAGCAAATGGCTGCAGCATCCCAATGAGACATCGATTCCCAAAGAACACAACTTGATTTCCTATCAGGAGTTCATCCTTAATGCAGGTAAGTATATACTTTTTTCCAACCCCTGGCAAAATAAGGGTTCTTTTGTGCCTTTGGTTCTCTTTTTGAAGTGCACGCTAGCAAACAAGCAATACATTTGTGCAATGTTTTATTGTTCTACAACTGAACTGCAAGATATATAGTTATCAGATGAGCACCATGCAAGGTTTCCTTTCAAGCATTATTGGAATTTTACTGTCAAACGCACGAAGCATACTTCCAGGAATGATATAATTGTAACTGAAACAAATGATTAACACATTAGCAATATAGTTCCCTCGAGATCTTTCTTCGTATAGGGAAGAACCACATTTAAATATACTTCTCTACCCTGTCAATCTGCCACATATTGGTAATAGCTGTAATAATACATCCCAGAAATCTCATAAGTTTTATAATGAATCTCCCTCCCTTCCTCTCCCTCCCTCTCCCTCTTATCTATCTATTTACATATTATCTATCTATCTATCCTCTCACCCAACCTTTTTAACTTGTATGCAGAACACATCATGCGATGTGCGGGGCTGGATGAATGCAAAGCTGGGGTGAAAATTGCTGGAAGAAACATTAACAACCTCAGATATGCAGATGACACCACTCTGATGGCCGAAAGCGAGGAGGAGCCGAGGAGCCTTCTAATCAAGGTGAAAGAAGAAAGCGCAAAAGCTGGGTTGCAGCTAAACATCAAAAAAACCAAGATTATGGCAACAAGAATGATTGACAACTGGAAAATAGAGGGAGAAAATGTGGAGGCCGTGACAGACTTTGTATTTCTAGGCGCAAAGATTACTGCAGATGCAGACTGTCGCCAGGAAATCAGAAGACGCTTACTTCTTGGGAGGAGAGCAATGTCCAATCTCGATAAAATAGTAAAGAGTAGAGACATCAGAATGGCAACAAAGATCTGCATAGTTCTCCAAAGCCATGGTCAATAGCCCGGTAGTTATAGAACCCACTCTTTACAACACGGACCATGTCGATGGATGAGTGGACATTAGGGAAGGTCTCACCATGATCGGCACGAGCGAAGACAGGATCGTAATGCCTTTTGTGAACTGTGCGTCGTGGAGGAAAGCCTAGTGGAAAGTTCCATGACGAACCGCATGCACTTGGACTTAGTTTAAACAACATTAGGTACTCCGGCAGAAGACATCCCAACAACGTCAATCCTCCAGGAACAATAAAGCCAGTATCATTATTGCTCCATTTGGAACGCGCGCAAGGGATACCTCAGAGACAACGCTGAACAGTACTTTTATATATGGCAACATGCATGAGGAATAGGATCAGAAGTCCCCCTGAGAGAAGGACTAAAAGATTGATGCGGGAAAGTGGAATCGGTTAAAAGACTTTCAAACAAGTATCATTTGGGATGTCCACTATTTCCGACTCCCAAGGGCAACAGATGGATTGGATGGCTATCCCTTGAAGATGTATCTGACTGACCTGAAGGAGATGGCTCATATCCGCTCTCCATGGTGGGACTGGCTGCGCAGCGCTCGAGCTAACACCTTTGGTCTGTGGGCTGGCCAATCGACTGGTCACGAAAAGACGTCGGAGGCCACGATCCTACCACCCCTATATTTCAATTGACACTAACAACAACATCTATCTTATTCCGCACCTTATAGTCGATCTATCTATCTATCATATACACTTCTATCTATCCTGATTCACGCACAGAGGTCTCACTTAACCTTCTGTTGACTCTGGGTTGAACCAACCCTTGACACAGGCACCCCCATTCACATCCACATTATAGTCCAAAAGAGTTTTTGGTCAACTTTAGATTCAGTTTTATTATTTGGGGTGCTAATTCAGAAAATTGCATTGGATGAACCAGATCAGCTCTAGAGTCTGATACAGAACATATGCCATCCAGTAGTTGCCATCTGCTTGCCTACAGAAAACTATATTTAATAATCTAGAGCTAATGTGGTCTATCCAATGTAGTTTTCTGAATCAGCACCCCAGATAATCCCACGAACAGGCCTAAAAATGAAGACACCAAGGTGTCTCCGCTTCCAGAACCCCTGCTTCAAGGCAACCCAGCTTCCAGATTGTTATTATGAACCCTGATCTCATGGGCTAATGACTCTGTACCAGTGTCCTTTTTAATGTCCAACAACAAAGATTGTCCAAGATGATGGGATTAAGAATCCATCTCTGGAAAAGGGGAAATGTCATTGTGGAAAACAGGGCATGATCCTCTCCATCCGGGGAACGGTCATGCCAAGTTCTTGGGCTTCAGGGGTCTAAGAGGAAGCATAGGGAAAGGATCTGTGGAGGGAAGAAAGACTGGTCTTGGTATTCATAGGAAAGGCAAACACAGTTTCTTGGTTAGTGGGGTAAAGGTCGGGTTGTCTGAGGGCAGGCCAGATGGAACAACCCTGCTCAGCGGGAGGAAGGAGGAGAAGAAGCAGTCAGGAGATTTGTCATACCTTTCGTGGGTAGTCAGCTTCTCATCTCCCAACATCCCCATTGTCTTGGCACTATAAGTGGGTTTTGCAAGACCAGTTGCTCTCGTTGCAACAGTGCAGTTGTTCTCGTTGCAACAGTGTAGTAACAGTGAGGCTGTGGACCATATTTTAGTTCTTGGGGACCACTGGTGGTCCATGGACCACAAGTTGGAAACCACTGATCTACACTATACAGAATAGATAACTGAATGTCATCTATTCTGTGATAATGCTGGGTTTTATGTACAACTTCAGAAGGTGCTTAAATCAGGGCAAAATATTCATTATCATTATACCCCATTGAGCATAGCTTAACTTACCTATGGAATCAAGGTATTTTATGAGGCCTTTATCCATCTCTGTCAACGAGTGCTGGTGCATCTCCAAACTATAATATCCCACAAATCCATAGCATTGAGCTAAAGCAGTTAAAGTGGTGTCAAACTGCATTAATTGTACAGTGTACTGTAGACACACCCTCAGAGTTGTATCCATATTTATCTAAATTGCTTTTTTTTGGCAGATAATTACATCTTTAAGAATGACACCGAAGACTATTTATTGTGTTCTAATAGTTCAGATGGTGGGTAAGTGTGCTTAACTATTATTAATTTTCTATGCTTACAATGTCTCATTTAGAAAAAATGCAAAATATAAACTGTATAAAAAGCTAAATGATTGAACAGCCATATAATGGAACTGCAAACAGCGGATATAATTTAGTTGTCTCTAATCTGTTTTCAGTCTTCCCTAACCATTTTTATTCCTCTTCCCCACAACTCAGCTCTCAAGTTTATTTTATTTATTGCACAAAGTCAATGTCAATTGTATGTAGTTAGTTACTGTTGATAAGAGCATCTCCTTGTGGTGAGATCTAATATTTACTAATTTCCAAATATAAAAACAGAACCTTTTGTATGCTTTTCTATCAAATGTGCCTTTTATTCTGAGGATTTTATGGTTTATTGATGACTAATGAATAGGTTTGTGTACAGATTCAGAGTGGTTGGTTCCCTTTGGCCAATCCAGCTTGTTCAGCTTGGTCGGATGGCCGTAACGACAAGGACCCATCCATCACATTTTTCGTCTGTTATGGGACCATGTGGCAGCTGATCACGGCTCTTCTTTCCCTATTCAGTATCACATGGTGCACAAAAACGACATGTCTTATGCAAGCTGTGTCTGCTTCCTTAACACCATTGCTGAAACCAGGCTCCCTTGAAGGGGAAAAAGGAAAGGGTTCCAGGAAGGCTGTTTCCTTAACTCGGTTGCTAAAACCCTGTCTCCCTTGAAGGGAAAAAAGGAAAGGGTCCCAGGAATGAGAAAGGGTAGCCTCATAAGTTTTTCATTGCTACCAATGGGCTGGATCTAGTCATATTTTTTGGCTGTGGACCAAAAATGGCTATCTGATGACCCGCCTGTTTTTGGGAGACATGCAAAAACGGATACAGGGGTCTACTGGAATCCAGCCAACAGAAATGGATCGAGGTTTAGGCAAAATGCACAAGCCTACTAATGAAGATGACTGAACAAAATATGAAAGTTAAAGTTGTCAGAGATGCTGGTAGTATGGCAGAAATAGAACAAAACCTTTGCTATTTGTTGTTCTCTATGAGTATAATTTCGTAAATGTCAAAGACTTTCCCCATTTTAAAAAACAAAGTTATGATTTCTAGCTCCTGTCCACGAGATTCTGTTTGCCTGAAGGTTGGAGGTAACCCCGATTACGGATTCACAAGCTTTGACACTTTCGGCTGGGCCTTTCTCTCCTTGTTCCGTCTTATGACACAGGATTACTGGGAGCGCCTCTATCAACAGGTAGGCCATGTTTGGCTTTTAAGTCAAATATTTCATGCAAGTTTTAAGTCAAATATTGTATCTGTTGCCTACAATCCGAGTTAAACTAGTCAATTTTGTCAGCTAAGAACTCTTTTATTCAAGATCAGTCAGGAATATTAATACGTGAAGGAATATTGTAGCAGTAATTGAGGCCCTATCTACACTGCCATATAATGCAATTTGAAACTGCGCTACATGGTTAGTGTGGACTGATATAATGAAGTTCAATGTAGTTACCCTGCATTATATAGCATTGTAGATGAGGGGCTATGAGAATAAACTCGACAGGACAAGCTTTTGTTGACTAAGAGTGCATCCACATTGTAGAATTAATGCAGTTTGACATCACTTTAATTGCTAGGGCATCATGGGTTTTTCACTGAGCTGCTGAGCTTGTTGATCGAAAGATCGCAGGTTCGATTCGCTCCATGGCAGTCATGCTTGGCCAAATGACCTATGGGGATCGTTCTACGGACACGCGGTATTGGCTCTCGGCTTAGATAAATGGGAGCCATGAGCGCACACCCCAAGTCAGACTCATATAATCCAGTTAATGCAGGTATAGTATTAATAATAAATCTATATAAATAAAAATGTAATGTTCGTTTGTGGGATTAACAGAAACTCAAAAACCACTGGACGAATTGACACCAAATTTGGACACAAGACACCTACAAACCCAAGGAGTGACCATCACTCAAAACAAATTGATTTTGTCATTTGGAAGTTGTAGTTGCTGGGATTTATAGTTCACCTACAATCAAAGAGCATTCCAAACTCCACCAACAATGGAATTGAACCAAACTTGGCACACAGTTCTCCCATGACCAACATAAAATACTGAAGGGTTTGGTGGGCATTGACCTTGAGTTTTGGAGTTGTAGTTCACCTACATCCAGAGATCACTGTGGACTCAAACAATGATGGATCTGGACCAAACTCTACACGAATACTCAATATGCCCAAATGTGAACACTGGTGGAGTTTGGGGAAAATAGAATATCGACATTTAGGAGTTGTAGTTGCTTGTTGGGATTTATAGTTCACCTACAATCACAGAGCATTCTGAACCCCACCAATGATAGAATTGGGCCAAACCTCCCACACAGAACCCCCACGTGGGCCACAGCAACGCGTGGCAGGGGAAGGCTAGTATATATATGTGTGTGTGTGTGTGTGTTCTTAAATGTGTCCAAGTCATACCTGCTCTGTAAATAAAGAAAAGGCACACATATGGTTGAGAGCATAAGACTTCGTATATTTTTTTTCTGACCATAGACTCTCAGAGCTTCGGGGAAGATCTATATGCTGTTTTTCATGCTGGTCATCTTCCTGGGATCTTTCTATCTGGTCAACCTGATCCTGGCTGTGGTCACGATGGCATATGAAGAACAGAGCAAAGCTACTATTGCTGAAACAGAGGCCAAAGAGAGGAAATTTCGGGAAGCCATGGAGATGCTAAAGAAAGAGCAGGAGGTGTGTATCTCATTCTATTTTGTGTCTAAAACTATCTCCGCATTCCATATACTTTTCATGTTACCAGTAACTATGTTGTGGAAGTATTGATACACTATGAATCATAGAATCATGGAGTTGGAAGAGACCTCGTGGGCCATCCAGTCCAACCCTCTGCCAAGAAACAGGAAAATTGCATTGAATGATGAGAAACCCATGTTTCTGGTTCACCTACAGTAGAGTCCACCAGTTGTGTTTCACTTGGTTCATTGTATCACAGAAGGAACAAGTCATGAGCAATGAATCAAGTAAGACTCTACTGCAGTGGTTCTCAACCTGGGGTCCCCAGATGTTTTTGGCCTTCAACTCCCAGAAATCCTAACAGCTGGTAAACAGCTGGGATTTCTGGGAGTTGTAGGCCAAAAACATCTGGGGATCCCAGGTTGAGAACCACTGCTCTACTGTAATTTTTCATCATCTCACAGTAATTTTGGAGCATCTCAAAACTTTTCCATCTGTCACTATCCCCTTCAAGGAGATGAAGCAGGATATAATATTTAGGGCACATCTACACTGACCACTTAAGTCAGTTTCAAACTGGTATTGATAAATCTATATAAATAAAAATGTAATGTTCAATGTATTGTCGAAGGTTTTCATGGCCGGAATCACTGGGTTGTTGTAGGTTTTTTCGGGCTATATGGCCATGGTCTAGAGACATTCTCTCTTGACGTTTCACCTGCATCTATGGCAAGCATCCTCAGAAGTAGTGAGGTCTTTTGGAACCAAGAAAAAGGGTTTATATATCTGTGGAATGACATGGGTGAGACAAAGGACTCTTGTCTGCTGGAGCTAGGTGTGAATGTTTCAGCTGACCACCTTGATTAGCATAT